AATATATAATTAATTAATATATATAATTATAGTATAGATTAAAAAATAAAAAAAGGTAAAGAATATAATAAAAAAATATTTAAAAAATTGAAGGGTTAAAACTAAAAATATCAAATAGTTAAAACTAAAAAATAAAATAAATTGAATTTAATAACGGAAAAAGTAGGGTAAAAAAATAGGAGGGGTGGGGATTGAAAACCCCTAGATATTTAGGTTTTATTTTTAAAAGTTTATAGTTTCGATTTAACGTATATCTATATTATATTATAAAGCATTTATGTAGAACTTTTAAATACAAATTATAATACATAACGTACTAATTTTTAATAAAGATTACTTAAAAATTAAGAATACAAACTAATGATGCATTAGTACAAGTTACTAAAGCTTCTTATGGGCTGTTTACCAAACGCTTGCTCGGGTAAGTGAACATTAAGTTATGTTACCTTACCGGATGAATATGGTAAGAACCAAAAATCTTACCCGATAAGAGCGAGACAAAGACCAAGGGATTGTTTACCAAATTTTCTATTAAATCCTGTATGGATAAATTTGTCTGTCTAAATAAATTTGTCTGTCTGGATAAATTTATGTTGTTTACTTTTCTATCTGAATCAACAGTCTGAATAACAGAAATGACCAATTTACCCCTATCTGCCTTATTTCCAATTTCATTCCTTTTTTATCCTTATGTATAATATCTAAAACAATCAGACCAAAAATTTACGAATTTTGGATGGCCTATTTATCTTGTAAAGCTGAATCCACTATTGCTGTTCATAATCCATCCAAGAAATCTGATAAAATCCATGGAAATGAAGATTTGATCCACAAGAAAATTCAACACTTTGACTACAGCGATTTGGAAGCAGCCACCAATAATTTCTCCGACCAGAAACTCCTCGGCCGTGGCCGTCTCGTCGCCGTCAAAAAACCCTCACACCAAAACAACCACCATTCCGCCCTATCCGCGCGTGTCGGAGAATGAAGTTGAAAACGAAATCGACATCCTTTCCAAACTCCATAGTCCTCGTCTCGTTAACTTTTCACAAACACCCCACATCATAATCTGGCCGGAGAATGAAGTTGAAAACGAAATCGACATCCTTTCCAGTTAAATCCTCTCTTTGGATCGATGGAGAAGAGAGAGGCGCTGTTGGTGGATAAGGGTAGGGCAAGTCTTTTGGCCGGCTTAATCTGGACAAGGAAGGATTTTCATCTGGGCGAATAAGCCCATTTCTGAGCGAATAAGCCCGAGGTAAACAACCTATTTTGTCTGTGCGAATAAGCCAGTTTATCCACTAAGCTCATTAAGCCTCAAGTAAACAGGCCCCAAGTCTTACCCGGTAAGTGAAAATGACGACTCTTACCATGGTAAGCGCTTACCAGGTAAATTGTTGTGTACGATACCATTTTGGTGGACAAAAATCTTACCCGGTAAATAAATGATAGTGTTGAATTTACCAGTAAGCAGGTAAATTGTTGTGTACGATACCGTTTTGGTGGACAAAAATCTTACCCGATAAGTAAAATGATAGTGTTGAATTTACCAGTAAGCGCTTACTGGGTAATTGTTTGGTAAACGGCCCCTTACTTTTTGTTATCTCCCCCAAACCCACCCATAATGTTCATCCATACCAATTTCCCGTAAATATATGCTCAACTAACTAATATCGATAAAGATCAATTCTAATCAATGTTTATCTCAATTCTTATTTCTTTGTTAGTATTTGCTTATTTATATCCCTACAAAATTAGATGACTTTGACGACTTCATCTATGCTTAATTCTTCAAAACCCTAAATTTTTGGACCGTATTTTCCGATTTCTATTATTGAACTAACTTTGATTTTGATTTTTTGTTGGCAGATGCATTGCTAACATTTTTAAAACTCAAGAGTTCAAGCCTCATCAAAGGTAAAGTATATACTTGAAAAAAGTAGTGATACTTGTATCGATATAATTTTGATTTTGATCTTTTGTTGGCAAATGCATAAGTTAATTATGGTGACTTATTGAATTATATGTATTTTCATGCTATAATATAGAAAGGTTAAAGTTTCATATAGTAGTAAATTTTGGTGGATGTCTGCTTCAAATACGGCCCATGACCTATTATCTATACTATATTATAAATGATTTGACAAAAACTCTTAAAAACTATTTTTGATGCATTAAGTATTGTTCATTGATGCATATTACTAAAAATTCAAGATTACAAGTAAATTATGCATATGTACAACTTATTAAAGCTCTATGTTTGAATTCGTAACTGCAGATAAACATGATCAAATACTGAATAAGTATCTTATTTTGAATATAAAAAATCTAAAATATACTTAAAATAATTATTGAATTTTAACATAATACAAATTATTATCTTTATAAAAAAAACTATATTATTAAACCGAAAATAAATGATTTTATTATTAAATCTAAATTAAGTTATAATAAAAAATTGAATTAAATAAATTAAAAAAAAAAGCAAAAACTTTTAAATATTTAATTTGATACTAATATCGATAATATATTTTTTTCAAAAATTTATCATACCTTCAAATTTATACTTTATTCAAAAAATATAAGCATTATCGTTTTTTCAGTACCACATAAAATCGTATTATAACATCGACGAAAACAAAATAAAACGAAACAATTAAATCGAAATGTATCTCATTATATTGCACGAGTATCATTCTAATTAAAAAAAGGGACACGGCAACACCGCCAACACCCATTATTTATTTGGTAAACTTGCAAATTATTTTGCCCCACTTGTTCTGTTAGAATGCCTAACGAATAATGCTCACCATCAAATCAATATATAGCATGTTATCCAAAAAGACTTTTTAATTATAATATAATATAATATTTACTTTATCATGTGATATTAACTAACGACTCAGTGTCGAAAGAAACAGATCGAATAATAAAAGTGAATTAACGCGATGTACGTCCCACATATAAAACGATGCTTTTATTTACCATTGAGAAACCAAAAACCGAGCCAAGATTACAAGACCAAAATCATAAATTGCACATGATTAAACCCTCAAATAGCCACTCATAGTTTCTCTCCAAAACTCATGATTCAAAAGATGAGAACCCGTGGGGCCTATAAACCGAGCATATCCAAGGATACCGGTTTAGACAAAACGTAGGCCAAATCATGACGTATCGAACTACACATTGTTTAATTGTATCATTTGACCTCACTCATTTCAGACAAAAGGATCAAAATTTCGAACTTGTGGTGCAAGAATGTGCTTGATTGTAGAGCATGGTCGTGCCCATGATGCACGGCCGGCCGTGCTTTGATTATAACCTACGTGCAATCATTCTAGATTTCCCAAAAACTATTTGTTACAATTTCAAGCACAGAGACATGTCAAGTGTTTTTGTTGTATTGTTTTGTATCACAATTTTCAACAACATTAATTCAACTGCAAGTCAACTTTTCTATTATAGTATTTATTTTAACATCGTATATATCATTTCAATAATTGTAACGTTTATAGAAATTCAAGTACTAACCAATTCTAAATTATCATTTTCTAAAACCACGAATGTATATATACGTCTTTTACATGTGAGGAAGACTTCAATTCCATGTGAATTAGAAGATGAAAAGATTAAATGATTATAATCACATCATATCGGTTAGTACAATAATTTAATAGAATGATGAACGTTTTTTATTCGTCAAATTCTTTTTATCAATATTGAATAATTTCTATGATTGTGAAAAAAATAATTGTACGAATTCATATATATATATATATATATGAGTTATTATGCAACAATTTATATTTGTACAATCAACATAACTAAATCTCAACCGTTCATTTAATTTGATAAATATGTGATTTTATAGAAGTTTTAATTGTTTCCTAACTTAAAGTATTGATCATAATTAATGAACTATATTCATATTCCATAAATATCCAAATCATAATAAATGAACTCTCATCATTTTCATAAATATTTCAATCGATTGGGTTGCATTGGTTGTACAAATAGACATGGTTACATTTGAAATATACCCTATATATATAGAGAGAGATTGTTTCAAATACAACTCGTTGCATTTATACAGCCAATGCAACCCAATAAATTGAGATATTTATAAAAATGATGAGAGTTCATTTATTATGATTTAAATATTTATGAAAGATGAATATGGTTTATTAATTATGATCAACACTTTATATTAGAAAATAATCAAAACTTCTATGAAATCACATATTAATCAAATGAAATGGACGGTTGAGATTGAGTTGTATTGGTTGCATAAATGTCAAATGTTATATAATAACCAACCTCTATATAAGTATTTCGAATATATATCGAAAATAATAATGTTAATATTTTGATTTTCTTTAATATATTTATTAAAGCAATTCCTAATTTAAGGGTCAAGTGGGATGAAAAACACATACAAAAAAAAAAGCATAATTAAACAAATAAAGCAAGAGAGACCAACATCCTCCTCATAAATCAACTTCTTAATCTTTATAAATAAATAAAAACCAATAATTAATTTCCCAAATAATGAATCCCCATCAGCAAATGAAACAAAGAAAGCTACCTTTTGAAACTCAATCTGCTTAGCTGCTCTTTCTGGGTTTGCTTTTTCTTCTGCTTCTTCTTGGTTGTTGATGATGATGATGATGATGATCTTGAGTGCTACTACTACTCTTCACCAATTCTTCATTTGACTTTGCCTTCTTTGACTCACTTTCTCCCTCTAAATCCTGTTGACTTTCCTCTTTTGGTTCTTTGACTTCTTCTTCTACATCCTCCTCAGTTTTCTCCACAACCTTTCTTGGCCTTCCTCTCTTTCTTGGAGTTGTGATTTGCTCTCCACTTGCAGCTGATGATGCTTCTGTTATGGCTACTGATAACTCTTTCCTTTTCTTGGGTATCTTCTTCTTTCCCATCTCCCACAGATCAAATCTTGCTTTAAAACCAAATCATTGATTGCTTGGAGACACAACAACTTAACCCCACAAACAAACAGAAGATCCAATCTGTTCTGATCAAATCAGCATCATGAACAAGTAATACTTGAAATCAAGACAATATTTAGGTCATAACCATGCATATATGTTATATGTTGTGAATTGAACCAATGATATTTGGGTTTGAAGTTGAGAGAAAACACAAGTGGATGGAGGAGGATATGAAGTTGAAAATATGGGAAGATAAGTGGAGACAGTGAGACTACTACTCCTCCTCTACCCCATCCTTATTCCTTTAAGTCTTGATGTAGTGTTTCTTTTACCTTATTTTATTTATATTTGTTTCGTAAATTACGAAAACCGTCCGTGGGTTTTGTGGAAAGTTTGGATACCGTCCCCGACTTTTGAAAATTGCAAGGCGTGTTGTTGTGGTTTGTATTTTTCTAACGGATTTCGTTCTTGTCAATGATGGTCGTTAGGAGGAGGTGTTAAGTGCCCTTCACGTGCTAGTTACATGAGGCAATTCAATGATTTTATTTTTTTTCTATAGTTTTTTTATCGTGAATGTGTTTAGAACTTGTGTACAAGTGTTTCATATTATAAAGGATTGATCCTAGCAAGTAACTACCGCCATAACGTTCGCTATCTTTTACGACGATGAATGATCAACTAAAAGTGAACATAGATTACAAATTATTACAACAAAAGCCATGAGATATCGACCCTGGATTTCAAAAGCCAAAAAGGATTTCTCCATTTTGAAACCACAAATCAAGAATGAAGATTATGATGGTGAGATGAATAAGAAAGAACAAAGTGATTAGGGTTTTTGATAACGAAGATGATGGATCCATGATTAGGGTTTTCACAAAGACTTTGATTATACGAATAGAGTGATTAGGGTTTTGGTGATGGAGATGATGAACCTCCAACCACGAGTGAGTAGGTTTTCACAAATTGAGAATCGAGCCAGACACTTCCAGCCGTGAACGAGCAAATAACATAGATTTTCGGTTTTAGGGTTGGTTTAAGATTTTTATTTATGGTTCGTTTACAATTTTTTTGGAATGAATCAAAATGTTATTTATGTTCTTAATTTTGTACAATGCACAACATCTGTTGTTAATATTGATGATGTTGATGTTGATGTTCTGCATCCAGAGATTTGCATTGTGTTTTATTCACGTTTTGATTTTGTGGTTTGAGAATGGTTGATGTCCATTTCATCTTTATGATTATGTTTTGATCTTCTTGGTCCATTTTCTTGCATGAACATTTTGTTTATGATAGGTAACATGAAAAAGAACGATACATAAAATGACCAAAATGTCTCTCACATAATTAGCATGTCAGAACACTTAATGGTTGGACCTACGACCATGATCAAAAGGGATGAGGTTTGTAATTAAATGCAAACCACGATAATTATCCTTGTAATTTTCAAAAGTTATGGATAATTATCCCGAGTTTTCACTAACCCCTCACATAGGGACGGACCCAAGAATTTTTGGATACGATGACACCATATAAAACGGTTCCACCTTTTACAAATCTAATTTTTTTAACCTTACCATGGAGAAACAATACGGTGGCACGTGCCACCTAACCACCACTAGGTCTGTGTATGCCCTCACATAATTTGTGTAAACCCTATTTGTTTGTCTTAAATTTCATTTATGGCTCATATTTGAATATGACCACCCAAGTTCCATGTATTTTGCATATGGTACGCTCAAATTAATTGAATGTTTGGTGACATATAGTGTTTACATGCACCAAATGTATTGTGATTATGATACCCTATGTCTCTATTTTCAAGTAAAATAAATTAAATATGTTTGATTTGCTTTATAATTGATCTTAATGACATTGTTATATAAAAATAATTATGTTTCACAATACAAACAACAATGTCTTATCATGCAGATATAACTCATATGCATACAACCGAAAAAGAGATGTTCATTTTAGAAGTGGTAAATAGTTAAGAAGTAAAGAAGTGATCCTAGCTTTTTATACGGTCAAGATTGGTTAAAACTGTGGCTTTGACTGGTCAAACAAAAAATAGGTGAGTAGTTTCATATTTTTAAAAATATACGGCAAACAAGTTCATATGTGAACCAGTAGTTCATATGTGAGTAAGTTAATTAGTTCATATGTAAGTAAGTTAATTAGTTCATATATGAATCACACAGGCTTATATGTGAATCAATTAATTATCGTATATGAATTAGTTAAATAGTTCATATGTGAATCAATTAATTGTTTGTGAATTTATAGTTCATATATGAATCACACAAGTTTACATATAAACATATAGCTCATATGTGAATCATACGAGGTCACATATGCACTTGTTTTGTCGTCTATTTGTAAAAATTATGAAATTACCCTTATATCTTCACATACCATGTGAGAATCTATCTGGTGTTTCACAGTCAAAGTTGCAACAATTGACCATATGAAGGACTAGGATCATTTCTCTACTTCTCAAATACTTGTCACTTCTCAATTGAACCTATCAGTAACCCGATAATATAATCTACAATTCATTCCATTATAAGCTTAATTATTTTATTTTTTTCAAAATAAGGAGTAAAAAAAATCATATAACCAAAGTTACAATCTTTGTATTTTCAGTAATTTTACAACTAATAGGTAAGGTAAAAAACACAATCATCAACTTGAACACTCACTATAACAAATATAATTTTATAAGATGTCTAAACGTCCTAATAAAATATTTGATAGGACTTAAGTTTATAGAATAATATTAAAAAATATTATATCTAAAAGTGTTACAATAAGTTTATAGGATGCATTTAGACGTTTTAACAAATATTTCAAGTAACTTCTAAAATAAAATATATTCTAAATTTAAATTATTATTACTTAATATCTATTAAGTATAGATCTAATTTATACATAAAAGATTTGAAAGGATATGGATGAGATATTCTACCATAATGGGTATTCACGAATTAGTACATGAAAATCGTATTGAGAAGTAATCTCTATCAAAATCGAACTTGTGAGGCGTATATTTCCCGTAATAAAACCAGTTGTTGCTGATACCTTCTTCTTGGTTCCTTCTTCTCCAACGAAAATGTACAAAAGCTCTATTTGCCTCTATAATTCTATGAGTCTCTCCATTAACTATTTTATACGACACTATTGTTATATTAATTGTTAGGGTGTATAGTTTGCAATTCAACAATATTAAGGGTCGTATTTGAGATAACTTATTTTAATGTTACTTTTTGGTTTATATGCAAAGTTTGAGGTAGGTTTTGTAAAATACGTTAAATAGATGGAGGTGAATTGTAAAATTGGGGGAAGGGGATTCTGACATGAGTCAGTGTCTCAGTCTGACGTATTCTGTCGTCGCATCGCGCGGGGTTTCGAGTCCGTATAGCTGTAGCTGAGTTGGCGCACCCGTTGTCAATATTATCACCCACGTGTGTCTCTACATATTGTTGTCTGTGCTTCAGTTCTTCCTAGTTTTTCAGCCGTAAGATTTGTGGAACTTTATTCTTGGGTGAGGCATAATTTAATCGTACGGTGATTAATTGAGGATGACGTATGAGATGCTCTTCTGATTGGAGCATGTGATTCCGGGTGCTACAAGTGAGAAAGTGGAGACCTCTACAATTGTGTTTTTTTGCTTTTTTTACATCGATGGTATTGAAAAAATTGAAACAAAATACATCAAATCGTTACAAACTTTGATTTCATTTTTTAAGTCTAAGCAAAATTTTAGGGGTGGCTAATATCACTCTTATCTATTGTTATTGGTACCCCTAATACTATTTAAATTATTATGTTTTTTTTTTATTTTTAGTGTTTTTTTGTCTTTTAGTTATTATTGTTTTTGTCTTATTATTATTTTAGTTTATTTTAAAAATATATTAATTAGTATAAGTTATTGATTTGATTTTT